GTTATAGGAGGGTAATCCCGAGGCATTTCCAGTCGGAGTCAGGAAAGTTTTGTGCTGTTCCAAATTATCAAGCCGACAGGCGGCTGTAGAGGATCCCCGATGTTCGGGCAGGCTCATGGATACTTGGCAAGGGCAACACTGCACCGTCGGCACCTGAACGAGTGGAATTCTAAGTCTTGCCGTCGGGTGCTGTTGTTGCCATCGTAAGCACTCCCCGCAATGGCAGGAGACAAGGCCCGGAGTGTATATTGGCGGGACGAAGTTTCTGAAGGGATATCCAGGGAGGAGGGCAATTCAAAGTGAATGAGAAGAAGAAGCAATGTGAGGAATCGAACGGAACGGAACGAGGTGGTGGTCGGAGATGAAAGCTCTGGTAGGAATGCTGGTTCAAAGGATTACAAGTGCGCGGGGGGGGACGAGAACGAGAAGGAGGTCAAGGAGGACGAGGAGAAGGGGGAGGACCATCAAGTCATCATCAAACTCGGTTCCTCCGCTTTCTGCATGCTCAGGTCATGCCAGAGAGACGAGCACAAGCCAGGTGGATCACTTTCGATCATGTCGACGTACATTCCTGGAGAGAGAGAGCAATGTCAGGGGCAGAACGTGAAGATAAGAGCAAGTCGGGACGTCACTCACGCAAGATCTTTGACGTGTATTCTCTTTGCGGTGGGAACTCTGTGGGTAGCAAGAGGAAAGGAGGGAGATTAGGGAGAGATGGAAGAGTACGAGGAATGGAGGTAGGCGAAGGAGAAGGCAAGCAAGAGGGTGGAGAGAGGCAGGGAGGCAGGCAGGGAGGCAGGCAGGCAGGCAGGCAGGCAGGCAGGCAGGCACGGAAAGGAGGAAGAGAGTCAGCAAGGCAGGAGAGGCAGAAATCCAGTCACTTTTGGCCGTCGGATGCTCCAGGACCTGACGAACAAACTGCTGTTGGAAGGAGAGGGTGTGCCTGCGTCATGCACGCGGCGTCAGCGGAGCATGCGTGCTAGGGAACCACCGCACCAGGATGCATGGCCGCGGATCCTCGACAGAAGGAGGTTTGGAGGGCCCATGGAGAGGTAGAGCCTCAGGAGCGCGACCATGCAGGCGGGTGTTCCCTGCGCGTTGCTCATCCTTGCGCAAGGGAGGCTCGAGGCTTCGGCCAGTCAGAGCATGGAGGCAGGGCGAGCTGATGCTGGACAATTGAGGGGGAAGAGAAATGGAGGAGGAGGAGGAGGAGGAGGAGGAGGAGGAGGAAGAGGAGGAGGGTGAAGTCGGGCGAGAAAGACGGGGGGGAGATGCGGAGAGGGGGCGGAAAATGGGCGGGGGGTCACAATTGGGAATTCGCCGTAGGGACTACAGAGAAATGAGCCGGGAGCGTGGGGGGCTGCGCAGGCGGCGGTAATGACAGAGACGGAGGAATGGAACCTGATGGAGCCTGAGGGTCCCGCCGAACACCAGGAGGAAGGAAGAGTGCGAAGAATCGATCAGAAGCGAGTAGGACTGATCCACGTACCGAGTGAAGTTAGTAGGACATGTCAAGGTGGGAGAGGATCGAGCTAGTGGTAGATCGGGACAAGTCTTTTGGACTTTTGAGTGGAATGCGGGTGAGGTTAACAGGACATCAGGCAAGCTTGTGGTTGCAGGAGCCTCTTCTATCCCTTCACCGGTGGTGACATGCAGGATGGAACGAGCGCACCCGGACGGACGAAGGAGACATCCTTGAAAAGAGGCTCACAACCCAATGACAAAAGATGAGCCCAAAAATGTGTTGGGTGTGTGATAGTGAATGAGGCAAGCATGGGGATTGTCAAGACAAGCAACAAGCAAGCAAGGACAAGAACAAATCATACATGATGACAGAAAACATCGACACCATCATATGCTACACCACATTCAACCATCACTGAATCTGCATCAACGTAGGGAAGACCAACAAAGCTACAAAAAGCCAGCACCAGCTCAGAGATCGAAGGAGGAGAGCATTGCAGAAAGTCAGAAAAGTGTGACGTGGCACATGAGGTACAAGTTCTGCTGCAGATTAGGATTCACAGCAAGAGAACAAAACGTGAAAATCATCAATAGAGCTGTCACAAGAATAGATCAAGTAGAGGTGGATGATAGAAAAGGCGTACACATGATGCCTATCAAAGAATTGAGATGTGACAAAAAAATGACATCATTTTTCACAAGCGTACCAAGAATGTCCAGAAGCTCTCAAATGTTCATGTTTCAATGTTTTCGCATTCAAGCACCTGATCCTCGAGATGAACCCAATAGATACTTCACTGACAAATCCAGCCTACCCAATATTGCTATATACTTTGAATTTAAAATTTGTCACCCTCAGATCCAGTCTCGGCGGCCTTGCGAGATTCAGACTGAATGTACAAGGTGAGGAGGAAAACAACTGGGATGAAGGTTCCGAGGAGAACAGCGAGGTAAGCAGCAACGGAAACGTTCATGCCGCCCTCAGCAAGGAGCATAGCCTGGTTGGTGGTCTCCGCAAGCGACATGGTCATGGCGGGCTTGGCAGCGCGGGGAGCACGGCATGCAGCGGAAAGCTTGTTGCCAGAGCAGAGAGGAGCCTGCTGCCTGAGTCCAGTGAGAGCTGGAGTGGGAGCGAAGGCAGCGGCGGAGGCAATGGTTGCGGCAACGAGGAGAGCGAGACGCTGCATGGGAGGCGAGCTAGGGGCGGGAGTTTCGGCCCTCTGGGATTTAGGGGGTGGGGGGAGTGGGGTCCCCTACCCCTCCTTTCCCCGAAGTACCCCCGATTTCCCAGGTTCCAATTGTTACATGTGTGGGTGGGGTGTCCTACGGGTGGGTGGGAGGGAGGAACTGGGGGTGGGGGTGATATGAGGGAGAAGAGTGACGCTCAAACGTGTAAGAAGCGCTACTCCTCTGGGGGCTGACCCCCACCCTCCTAGTTGTCTGGGGGATTCGTAATACCTACCCCACCTATTGACAGTCTTTTATACCGGTGAGATTACAACCCCCCTAGCTGTACCCTTGATTTCGTATTACAGAAGTACCGGTAACAATTAGCCTCATAAAAAGGATACCCACCCCATATTTCTTCGGAAATTTCACCGGTGGATGACAGTTTCTCTCAAATTAACCCTTACTTATGACTGCAAATGTACCGGTACATTTTAGAAACCGTAGAGGAGTCTCCACACACACAAAAAAAACGATCTTGAGGGTATGTGAGGGGAGGGGGCCAGCTCTAAATGTTCGACGGAAGGAG